ATAAGAGATGCAGCTGCCTTCCCATTAGTTTCAGACTCATGTTTCTATACGATGGTTACCCCCATGGCAGCTATTCCCTGTAGCATGTTCATCAGAGCCCAGCCACCCTGCTTGGAGCAACTAAGACTTCAACAGCCTCAGAAATGATGGGGGAATGAAAATACCCATTCCTTTATGCTGTTGGTTTTCTCCGATGGCTATTGGCAAGTCAGACACACACAAGGGCACAGGCCAAGTTCAGAGCCTTGTTGTGCAAATTGCTCTTTCCTGCTTGTTGGAGGTTTTGAATTCACACAGGTGAGGAAGGCAAACTACTGTCAGGGAAGTAGAGGCAGGGAGAAGATAAAGCTGGGACAGGTGTAGAGAGGAAGGGAGAAGGGCTGAGAGCTGCTGCTTCCCTATATGATGACCAGCTGCTGTTGCTGGACATCATCACTTCTTAGGCCTGCTCCCATGCTATGGGTAAATCCATTGTCGTAAATCCCCAAAATCCTGGGATAGGTGTGGATGGCCGCAAGAAAGCACCTGTCGAGGAAAATGCCTGCCCAGGCTGCTTTCCCAGGTGTCAGCAGTGCTGTGGGAGCATGGTCTGTTCTCCAGCCTGGAGCAGCGATGTGGTGTTGCATATTCTCCTGACAGGGAAAGTTCTTAGAGCAGTTTGATCACTGTGAAGCCATTTCAGAAAACTGACAGCGTTTGCTAATGCTGAACGCATGCAACCGTGCGAGTCACGAGTCACGTTGTGTGCTGGTCTCATTTTTGTGCAGCATGTCAAATCAATTGGGAAGAAGAAATGCCAGGGCCTTCTTAAGGAAGAGCTGCTGTATTATTTTTCTTACTCAGATGTTTTTTCTCCCTTTGATCTCTTCATTTTCTTAGATGCGTGATGACCTTCCTATTTAAGGCTGATTGCTTTTTCAAAACAGAGCCTTACCCAGTTGAGGTGTGCCAGGGGTTACACACAAGGGATGCTCGGGCCGTTCCTACCTGCGCACTCAGATATCCCAGATCAATAACAGACACAGGAGGGAGAATGGTTCATACTTCTGTGTTCAAGTACAAGCTCTGAAGTGTTTCCCCCTTCACTGCCCAAACAAGACTCTCAAGGAATGCAAGGAAAATTCTCCCTGAATTAAAAAAATGTCAGACAGGTCTATGGGTTTTGGAGCCAGCGATTAAGCTTTCTTTCTGTAGCTTCCTCAACAGAAGTGATGAAAGGCAGCCCAGACTGATCTATATTAGTCCTGCATGGAAACACAAAAGGCTTGGAGAATAGAACATTCCCAGACTCAGTGCTGAGCTGAAGTACAGATTCTACTCCACTTTGCTTGGAAACCTCTGTATCTCTACCGTACTGTCCCCAAGAAACTGCATGATTTTGCAGCCAGGCTCAGAGCCCTCTCTGAAAGGTGTTGGTAGCATTAAAGAAACCTGAATGAAAACTCAGTGAACACCCAGCCACAAGGCCCCATCCCTAGGAATAGCTGAGCAGACTAAAGAAGAAATGCTTGAGTATCTTCTTGGTTTTTGCTGGTGGCAGGCAACAAAACATCGAGGCGCACGAGAAATAGTTTTCAACTATGGAAAAGGTCGGCAAGCAAGGGTCTTCAAGGGGCAGGAACACACTGCTGGCAAAGACTGGGTACTCACACTGCTCTTTGCATTTTCTTTCCTCCAGGAACTTCAGAGAAATCCATATTTGATTCTGGATGGAGTTAGCAGATTTGATATCATGCAAGGAGAAATAGGTAAGGTCGTATTCCTGTTTTGGAAAAGATTGGCACAAAACAATAACCAGTGATTGATTTGCTATGTTCTGAGTGCTCAGGGGGAACATGTGGACCACAGTAGCTGCAGTAAATAATCACTGCAGGTCAATCCAAACTCAGACAAGTCCACACACAATTTATTGCAGATGTTTTATAAGATTCCCAAATACAGCAGCTCTAACCCCTGTTACTTATATATTTATATACGGCACCTGCCCTCTATGAATATAAGGACAACCATAGAAAGGGAGATCCAACTGAGATCAGGCAGATGCTTCAAGTACAAGGGTCAAACACAGTTCTGGGGTAAGTAGGCACAGCTCCAACATGTGTAGGACTGAATTTTCTTTTAATCTTAATATCTTCATCTGACTCTCAATGTTTTCTTTCCTGTGGATATTTAGAATCATAGAATCATTTAAGTTGGAAAAAGACCTTTAAGATCATCAAGTCCAACTGTTAACCTAGCACTACCAAGTCCACCACTACACTATGTCCCTAAGCACCACATCTACACGTCTTTTAAATACCTCCAGGGATGGTGACTCAACCACTTCCCTGGGCGGCTAGTTCCAACGCTTGAAAACCCTTTTGGTGAAGAAATTTTTCCTAATATCTAATCTAAAACTCCCGTGGTGCAACTTGAGGGCATTTCCTCTTGTCCTGTCACTTGGGAGAAGAAACCAATACCCATCTTGCTACAATCTCCTTTCAGGTAGTTGTAAAGAGCAATGAGGTCCCCCCTCCACCTCCTTTTCTCCAGGTTAAACCACCCCAGTTCCCTCAACTGCTCCTCATAAGACTTGTGCTCTAGACCCTTCACCGGCTTCGTTGCCCTTCTTTGGACACACTCCAGCACCTCAATGTGTTTCTTGTACTGAGGGGCTGAACACAGTACTGGAGGTGTAGCCTCACCAATGCCGAGTACAGGGAGATGATCCCTTCCCTAGTCCTGCTGGCCACACTGATACAAGCCAGGGTGCTGTTGGCCTTCTTGGCCACCTGGGCACGCTGCTGGCTAATATTCAGCCAGCTATCGATCAATACCCCCGGGTCCTTTTCCACTGGGCAGCTTTCCAGCCACTCTTCCCCCACGTAACGTTTCATTGGGGTTGCTGCGACTCAAGTGCAGGACCCGACACTTAACCTTGTTGAACCTTATACAATTGGCCTTGGCCCATTGATCCAGTCTGTCCAGATCCCTCTGTAGAGCCTTCTTACCATCAAGCAGATCAACACTCCCACCCAACTTGGTGTCATCTGCAAACTTACTGAGGGTGCACTTGATTCCCTCATCCAGATCATTAATAAAGATATTATATTGTTTCTGTCCATCTTCTCTGATACTTACCCAGACTTGTGTCTGCACCCTTTATCATTTCCACCTTTTTCTCCTGGCCCATAACCATGTTTGTCTTTAGGAGCAGTTCTGCTCCCATATAGAAAGAAATGTCTTCTCATTCTCACCCCGCTGAGAGGTTTGAAGATTTCCTAAACAATGTTCTAGACTGCTAGTCTCAACATGACCACAGAAGACAGGAGGAGCATAAAAGTAGAAAAGGATAGTTGGGTGGCACTGGGGTTCTCAGAGGATGTTGCTGATAAATACTGGGTAGTGGTTCAGTGTTTTGGGGGAGGAAAGGGAGACAAAACACCAAACATCGATTTCTTTTAACAAGCTGGTTCTTAGATGTCTTAGCTGTTGAAAACCACTCTCGTAAAGAGTTAGTTATAATCGACAACAGTGAGTGACTGAATGCACTGGATTCTTCCCTCCCTTGAGGTGACTGCTGGATGCTGTCTGCCCTGGGCTCCCTGACACTGCAGAAGCAATTTCTGGAAAATGTTTTACCAAAGGACCAAGGATTCCAGGAAAATTATGCTGGGATTTTTCATTTCCGGGTATGTATTATCTGCTTTATTGGTACTGCTCAGGCTTGGCCGGTTGGATTATATAGGGGTCCAAATTGCAGTCCCAGATCTTGACATCCTTGAATGTTTTGGCTCTTCAGTGCTAACTCCTAGTTCAGAATTTTGCAGAAAATCACAGTTTTTCTAATGATTCCTCCTACTCCAGGTGGTATAATCACACTCCAGGGAATTTGAAGCCCTTTTCTGAAAGGTATGACTCCAGAGGTACAGATACCAGCTGTTCAGATAGATTTGTGTACATATATGTTTCAGGTAGCATTCTGGTGTCTGCTTTGATTTGGACAGTTATGGCTGTCAGCACATCTGTGCTCTTTATCTATTTGGACCCATTTTCTTCACCTTGCCCTTTTAGTTGGTGGAAGTGGCTTGAAATTACGAATCCTTGGGGACACATCAGAGGAAAAGGCTTTTGATATTTTGAAAAGAGATTTGTTTCGGAGAGGGGAGCAAGGCTCTTTTGTAAATCTCACTTTCTACCAACTCTTGAAATTCTCTGAGTCTCCCAGGAGGGTGACTGGGATAGTAACTGGCAGGCCCTGCTTGTTTGTATCTGAAGTAACCAAATATCTTCTGGGAATAGAAGCATTTGCAGTACCATTAAGCTCTAGAAGCTAAACTGGATGTAGAGATAATCAGAATATACTCAGCCATGGATCATCCTCCTTTTTTCTTTCACAAATCTGTTTTTTTATATGCAGTTCAGTACCAAGCAAAGAGCTCTGAAGCACTTCTTTGATCCCCTGGAGCTCTTGTAGAGTGGCACCAGGAGGACTATCTCATGGGCAGTCTAAAGTTTGCTCTGATCCTTTGCTCCTTGGAATACCAGATGTTTCTGGTTTGGTCCATTTCCAGTATGCAGCGGTGAACTATATGAGATAAACCGGCTGAAGGGACACCAGTCTGCTTAAAAAACATTAAAAGGATGCAAGCTAGATTGTCTTTCATGAGAGCTTTGAAAAGATTAGTTAGGAGCAATCCTTAAATCTTAAGCAATGTAAATACCTTACAGTATTTGAAAATGCTTTCCCTGTCATCTCATCTGCAAATCAATGCAACTGTTTCTGGCTTTCCTTCAGCAATAACCCCCTGAGAAAGCTACTCTGAATGGAAATGCTTCTCGGCAATGCCTTTCAATTATTCCATCAAAGATATTTTACTGCCATCCACAGGCTAAGTCACCAGTCCCCAGTTCAGTGAAGAATCGCAAACAAGGCATATCATATGTTAATCTAAAAATTTTAGCTTATAACTTTTTTTCACCTTTTTGACTCTGGAGCACGTTGCCTCTCAGGAATACAAAGTCTTCCTACACAACACTGGCTGTTTGACTGCAAGAGTTAAGGGTGTTAACCACTTCCTCAGCTGTAGTTAAGATGGGTGACATTTTTGTCTAGGGAACGATTACAATGATGTTTTTTCGCCAGGAATTAAGTTAGTCCTGTGTTTGTACAAGAATCACTTTCTCTGCCACAGAAACTCTGATGCCTCTGAGCATGTGCCACGTACTGTGACAGCGAGCAGCAGCAGCTCAGCCTGGGAAAAACCCAGAAATATTCTGCAAGGGCTACAGGGGGCTATGACACAGTGCATCAACTTAAAACAGGGGGGATCTGCCCTGAGCTTTAATGTCCCTGCTCTCAGAAAGAAACTGATGAAATCTTTAAAGGCCTTAAGTGGTCAGGACCTCAGTTTCAGGACGTGTCCAAAAGGTACTTCCTAACACCATGCAAAACAGAGTAGTTGAAAGGCATGGGATTTTCACATTGCTCAGTTCTGGAACTGGATTTCTCGAATGTGCCTGTCAAAGGAGGGAAAAAGGGAGGCAAAATAACAAAACAGTATTCCCCCTCTGATCAGCAGTGCTCCAGTGCGTTGTTGTCATCTTGCAACTGCCCATTTCTTTTTCCTCCTCTTCTAAGCCCAGGAAAATAAAGTCCTGATTTAAAAGGCTCACCACAAAAGTGCAAGTGAAGAACATCCCGCTTGGCACCCTGCGTAAATAGGGATTCTTTGTTTCATTTACTGTCATATTCCTAGCTGCACTACTTTAAATCCTGAGGGTATCAAGAAATTTCCTGAAGCCAGATTCTCAAGCCAAAAGGTGAAGATATCAGCCCTCTCTAAAGGCGTGTGAGTGAGAATGGCTTCTTCCTTAGCACTCTTGCACTCCCAGAGAATCCTAGGACTTTCCATGAGGTTTCTCATTCCCATTGTGGCTTTTCCTGTCCTTGTGAACTCTGATGAGACCACGACCTGAAAGTCTGCAGCAGTCAGGGCAAAGCAGCTCTCTTTATCCAGCTGAAGAAAAATGCAGTGCTGCGTTCAGAAGGCCTCCAAGCTTGAGCTCCCTACCAAAGATGGCCAAGGAACTTGGCTTTTGGAAAAATGCCACTCAGTGGGTTTGGGCTGCATTAACCCCACAGCCAGTTCCATTTTGTTCTCCTTGTTTACCTGTTGTGTTTGCACATGAAACACCATGGGGAGGTGTGGCTGGATGTCACATCTTTTTTTCTTCATATAGACCTGCTGCCAGATGTTGACTGATGGTGGGAGGGCACATCATGTGACCGAAAGGACAGCTCCTTTTGGACTGTTCTTTTACTGGTCTCTCTTTCGGGCAGAGGAGAGCCAGTGGCAGACTTTTTCTTCAACCCCATCCTGCCAAAATCAAGCAGAAGGCTCAAACCACTCCTGGAGCTCAGTTCAGAGAGTCCAACCCTGCCACCTCCTGCTGCCAGTAATCTAGGAAGTGAGAGGCTGGAGTGAGGAAGAGCTTAAGAAGGCTCAAACCTGCTTTCAGCTTAGCGGACTGTAAGCTGCTTTGCTGTTGGGCAGATCTGGTCTTGTCCTTTTCTAATAGAACGGCTCATTTTTGGGTTTTTCATTGACCAAAGCTGTTGAAATAAAATCACGCTAGACTAAATCTATTGCTGGCATACTTCCACTGGAGTCCTTAGCATTACTGCAAATAAGAGCTTGGCCTCTTATGATTGCGAATCATGCTAAGCTACATTAATCTGCTAATGACTCTGGAAATGGCTCCTTTAGTTCATCCCCACAGATCTCTTTCCTTATCATCTCCCTTGAAAGGTTTCACCAGCTGGATCAGCTGGAGAAACACCTGCTCTGTCCACATGCTGGAGAGACCGCCTGCGTTGTCCTCATCTATCAAGGAGATGGATAACACCTCAAAAAAGTCTTTATTCACTACACTGTCCCTGTCCGTGACAGCATGTCAGAGTCTTAATTGAAACACAGAGGAAAGAAAATCTAGAGACTGGATCTTGACGGAGGCTCTCTGGCCAAGAGCTGTGCTGCAGGGGAAAATCCAAGTGCAGCTGAGGAGAGAGGCTCACTGAACCATCTGCCTGATTGTTCTTTATCATCTTGAATGCTTGCTATCGCCTGATAATATTAGCATATTTCCCCTGTTGAATCTTTCCTCCCACTGATTGCAGGACTATTTATAGTCCCAAATGACTTCCCCTGCCACTGGGAAATCCAGCCACTTGGTAGCTTGTCTAACAATGTGGACCGTTAGCCTGAAGCAGTTCAGGAGAGAACTTGCACATACCCATGCTTTAGTTTAATTCCTGTGCTATTTCAGAAGGTTGTTTCTTGGCATGAATATTAGCTTTTAAAAGAGGCTCATTCTTTTCTCTCTCTCTCTTTTTTTTTTTTTTTTAAAAATTCCTTTTCCAGTTCTGGCAGTATGGAGACTGGGTGGATGTAGTGATAGATGACCGGCTGCCATTCTTAAATGGAAGATACCTGTCTGTACAACCTCGAACGTCAAATGAATTCTGGCCATCCTTGCTGGAAAAAGCATATGCCAAGTAAATACACCTGTTCGGTCTCTTCTTCCACCCAATGCTGAATGCTTTCTACATGTGGTTTCACTCTGTGCTTTATGCAAAGCACACAGGGAGAAGTTCAGGCTAACAGCTGTGTGTGTTGTGCTGTGCTTATGTAAGGAACTCTGGCTGCATGCAAACATAGGGGCAAGGTGACCTGGAGATATTGGTCTCAGGCTGAAGACCTAAATGTAACCAATCCAACTCTGGGATGTTTACGCCTGAGAAGTAAAATGAACAGGACAATGACACAAAAGGGGCTGTGCATCTCCTCCTTATTTTAGGCAAACTTCTTTGTCCCTGTTTTCCTCTACATATTTTCCTCTGTTTACAACTGCAGAATCCGAGCAGAGATTGCCTCTGTTTACAGTCACCAATCAGAGGTCATGCAGACATTTGGAGAAGGCAACGAGAGGAAGCATGACTGAGGAACATGCCAAGGCACAACACATGCACTCCTGTGAGTCTCTGGTCAGCTCTCACTTCACAGACAGAGCTCTGACTCTTAGCTGAGGTCCCCAGAGTACTGCAGGGTTAATAATGATTAATAAAAAAAAAGAATAATTTTTAAAAATACTCTGAGGCGTGAAGGGGTCAGAGTGTAGTACCTAGCATCTGTAACATTGGCCATTATTAAATGTGCTGAAGAGAAATTCCTATGCCAAAGGTAGTGTGAAGGGCTGGAACTTGGTACACATGCCCTACATCAAGCTGATGTAACATTTGCAATGCAGTAAAGAGAAGCTGAAGAGGAGAGCTAATTAATCTGGCAGATTTGGTCAGGAATAAGCAAATGTTAAAGCAGCATCTGAGTGACTTAGGAATAGGATGTGTTTTGCCCTGAGAGATCTCAGAAAAGTTGACTCAGGATTCAGTACCAATTTGCTGCATAAGATTTTAATTACAAAGCAAACCAAACTGCTATTAAATTAAAGTTGCAAGCGATGCTGTTTATAAGATTCCCATTTGAGAAGTTTTTCCCCAGTGCCCATGACAAATTCTTTTCATCAGTGTAGGACAAGGACAGCCCTTCAAAATACAATTAGCTGCAGACTTCATTTGATTACGTTCATTAAATACAGTGTGTATGGTGGGGTTTAACAGTGTGCTCTACCTGCTCTAAGTACAGCATGTTCCAGCTTATTTGCTGTCTCAATAAAAAGCACACGATAAAAACAACAAGGACTGTGTTGGCAATATTAAATTATTATCCTATTATTGTACTCTAGCAGAGTGAATTGGGAACAGTGCTGAAAACTTCTTTCTCTCTTGCCTTGAGAGCATGGGCAAATTCCTTCACCTCTCTCTTCTTCCTATTTCTCATTTGCAAAAGGAATACTGCCCATTTTTGCAAAGATGCATGACAAAATGCAATGCAGAAACTAACAGTTCAGCTCAATTTGATTTGAAACATCCATTTGAACTAGTAACTCTCAGCTCCCTTTCTGTTCAGAAGGAGGACTCTGGTTACTTCAAGATGAGATGCAGCTCATCTCCCTAAAATGTCTGTGCTGGCATGAGATGAACCTTATTATTTCCCACTGTCTGTGAATGACTTGGCAGCTGCCTCAGATGTGAGTCTGCCTCATTCATTCCACAGGGCATGCGTTGTGTCTGGCCATGTATTTCAATCACAATTCCTTTCATTACCTCATCCCAATGTTGACACACCCCAGGCTCACCGCCTCAATATGCATGTCCATTGTGGAAACCATCCCTGTACATTGTTTATTAACACACAGCATAAGGACTAATTAACTTTTTTTCTTTCCCCTAGGTTACGTGGCTCCTACCAGAACTTGCATGGAGGCTACATTTCTGATGCTTTAGTAGACCTCACAGGTGGAGTCCAAGTGCAGTTTTCTTTGAAGGATCCCCCTCCTGATCTGGAGGAGATAGTGAAAGCAGCTGACAAATCTAAGTGTCTGATGGGTTGTAGCACCTCAGGCCAGGTGAGTCATAGGGCCAGGAGCATATGCCTTTCTTTGTTTACCGTGTTTGCATAAAAGTTGCTCTTTGAGTGAAAAAGGAAGTCGATAATCACTCTGTGTAATGGTTACAGCTCATGGATGCCTGGAGACATCTTGACTGCAGAAGGTAGGTTATACAGCAAATAAAGGCTTTTGAGAAGATGTAGATGGGTTAGTCTGTCAGAGAGGGGGCTGTAGCTTCTCTCCTGGCTAATTTCACTGTGATAGAGTGGTATCCTCTTGCAGCAGGGCTGATTTTGGCCCTATAGCTTTGTGCTCAATTCTACAAGGCCAAAATGCACCTCTCTTCTGCAAGAGGGTGCTATTATCACATTGTGATTTGCAGGCTACTGACGTTAATGCTGTGAAGTTGCATAAGGTTTTGTGATGCTCAGCAAGCATCTTACTAAAAAGCTACCAAGGCTTCCCTTACAGCATGTAAGGGAAGACTGCAAAGTGTGTGACATTGTTCCTGTAGTTCCTGGTTCATCAAGACACAAAGGTCAGCTGGTGCAAACAAGCCAAGGACTAGCCCCTCAGCTCAGGTGGCTGACTCTGGGCTGTGGGTGGCAGGGAAATTCGGGGCCTCTAATCCTAGCAGTGACTCAGTCCAGGTCGTTCTGCAGTTACAGTAGCTCTCAACCATCGAAGAACTTGCAAATATGTAAAGACCTGTAGTTTTGTTAAATTTACTGGACTACTTATGTCTGCAGTTGGAACAATAGTCACTTTCTTCTGCAGCGCTATATCTGAGGTACTGCTGTAGTCAAAACCAAGTCTCTCTTTCTGCCATAACAAATGGCAGTTCTGGGAGCTGATGGCCATACCTTTGCAGTGTGGCAGGTAGCTAAAAGCTGTGCTTTCTCCCTTCTCCAGCTGAGGAACATAGAGCTGAGGAATGGGATTGTACAGGGTCATGCCTACACTATCACAGGAGTTGTGAAGGTAAGATTGGCGACTTGTTCCTGCCTGGTGATCTTGTACAGGTAATCCACTACAGGGCAGTTACACTGCTGTTCCATTTAGAGTAATTTTAATTATCTTCACACTGAGGATGGATTGTCGAAAGCACATAGTTCAAATTCCAGGACATGGAAGGATTCTGACACAATGGGAAAAGGAAGAATATCTGAATCCCACAATTTTTTCTAATGGAAAAATGCAACTTAAATTCACTTTTGTTTTGGGACACTTCAACAGCAAATGCAGCATTTCTGGGGATTTTCGTTCCATGCTGACTCTTAAAAAATTCACTTTTCTGTTTCAAGTGGGAATAGAAGTACTGGCTGAAATTCTGGGATTTGTCATATGATGCAAATCTACATTTGTTCAGCTCACTCACAAGCTGCCAAGAATCACTGTGTGAAAAGTAAATAACTCACTGGTTCAAGAATAGCATTTCCCTGTCTTTTAGAGCTGTTCTACTCATGCAGAACTTCGCCTGCCCAGATATTAATATTGCTGATCTGAAAACAGGACTGATTTATCACACAGATCAAAAGAAATGAAGGATTTTTTACAACCAGAAGCCAGAACACGGCTTACCCCAGTAAGCTGTAGTGCACACAGGGGGTGTTAACAGATGAGCAAGGCCAAGAAGGAAACCAAACAATGGCTATGCTATCAAGAAAGATAGCCACAACACATTTTAATCTAGGAACCTGAAGTACTTTGGAAAGGGGACGTTGTTTTCTCTAAGATGTTTTCTCCTTTCTCCCTCTCTCGTTAATGGTCTCCCATAGGAGTCTGGCTTTGGTTTATAGCTCCTCGTGCCATAGCATGTTTGGCGCCATCATCATACGCAGTGTGCAGGGGTGGAAGGATCCCAAATCCCATTGAAGAGGAAGCAGGCTGTTTCATCTTCATGCTGCTCATGATGTGTGCAGAGAGGAGAAACAGTCTTTGCCCCACCTTACAGGAGTGCCAAGGCAGCCAGGGAAGTGTCTTGTGGGAAAACAATTTCAGACTGGCCAGGGGCTGGGCCTTTGCCTGGGAAGAGACTACCATGGCATTTGTTTCCGACACTGCCTATGTGCATAAGGAAAGCCAGAAACAAAAAGGTTTGCTTCTCCTTTGCACTTCCACTATTTCAGCTTCATGGGTGGAAGTGAGTTGTTTCTGGCTTAAAGCAGTGACAGCAAGAGGAGGAAAGCACCAAACCTCCAGCTGTTGGAAACCATAATACTGTAGAGGCACAGATTCTGTTTATCATTATCTCTCCATGCTGTTGACATTCACTCCAGGCAGTCTGGTAGCCTGGTTCCTCAAAGTCCCTGCCTTTTCTGACTCACAGCATCAGATGTGCAGGATTAGGCACTGGACTTTCCCAAGGCTGTTGAAAGGAATGCTGCTGCTTCCCTCTGTGTCAGCTGTTCACTGTCCTCAGGAAAGCAAACTAGGCGCAGTTTTCTCCCACATGTTACTGCTTTACAATGTAGCAAAAGGCACTGATGTTTAGCTGCAGTCAAATGAGATCAGAAGTTAAACCAGGCCTCCAAGGTATAGCAGAAGATCCATGTTATCACTCATCTCCATTGAATATAACAATTGTGAAAAACTGTGACTGACTTTATTTTTCTTTCCTCTTTACAGATAGGCTACAAGAATGGCTGGAAACACCTCATCAGGATTTGGAATCCATGGGGCCATGGGGAATGGAAGGGGCCCTGGAGTGATAAGTATGGTCTTAAAGCTTCAATCTCATAAGGAGAATCACTCTTTTATAGTGATCCTTACTGTAAAGGATCTCTGCCTTGCACTCATTATAATGACGCAGACATTTCTAAATCAATTTATTATAAGCGTTATTTCCATCTGCAAAGCAACTACCCACAGAAATCCAATCCAGGGAAAACTAATGCAGCATTGGTTTTATATGTACTCCTCACTAGGCCTAGCTCAGCTATCTCTTTTTGTCTTTGTGTACATTTTTCCCAGTGGGTAATTCCAGATAAGTCATGGATGAAAGAGTTGTTATTACCTGGAGTATTCTCTGGCCATGCACCTAGACACCAGCTGGCTGCTTCTATTGAATTCTCCTGCAGCAATCGTGCATCCACCTTCCTGCTCCTTCTTCCCCTCCTATGAGTCTGAATCTGGGAAGAGGATGGCTAGCAGAGTCCGTGAGAGTTGGGCAGTATTTTTTTGCAGTACTGAACACGGAGACACAAGAAGGGTCCTTGATTATTGCAAAGGCGAAGTGGCTTGAACTGATCTTTTGCATCCTGTGTGCAGCTTTGGAGATGCAAGGACCACTTTGCTGCTGTGTGTATAAGCTAACTTCTCTTTCCTGAGGAAAGCAGTGATACAGAGGAAGGCTGCAACAGTGTTTTGTAAATAAATAGATGTTAGTTTTCCTGGTGGAATTGCATCAGTGTTTTCCTAACTAGAGAGATGTTCAGGTGTCACACTGACATGATTTAATAGCATCCCACCTCTCCTGTTGCTAGCGACACTCATAACTTCTCTGCTGAGAAAAGTCAGGCTAGCGTCTTGCGTCTGGACGGCTTGGCGGGTGGTGCAGAGATGTTTAAAGCTGGGATAGTAGCTATCTGCTCAGACAGCATCGTCCCGTTTTTTGGAAGGGTGAACTATAATCCTAACTGTAATTGAAATGTCAGTAGAGCGCGTTCACAGGTAAGCTGCATAAATCAATAAATTATTGATTCATGCTCTGTTTATTTATCTTACACTCCACAGAAAGTACAATTATCACTTAATTATGAACATGCTGCTTGGAAACAACACATTTGACTAGCTAATGTGCCCTCTACACGTCAATGTAATATCAGCACTTCAGAGTGCTATGCCTTAGGCACCTCACTACTCTCCAGCATGGGGACAGGTGACCAGGGCTTGGAGGACAGAGGCAGGATTCCCCATCCCAGGATGGGCAACTCGGGCACAGCAAAGGTGCAGAGCTCTGTTTGCTGGCCTTGGCTATGAAAGTATCAAGCACAGTCCTGTTCCCAATGTGCAGTTTGCTCACCCCTCCTGAACCTCCATGATTTAATGGACTGGTTAGAGGAATGGGCTGACCAGAGTGATGGAAAATGGTGCCTCACATCTGCTTGTTGATTTGTTCCTGTTTGCAGCTCTCCTCAGTGGGACCATGTTGATTCTAAAAGCAGAGAAACCCTCCTCAGAAATAAGGATGATGGAGAATTTTGGTATTTCCCTATTGATCCTTCTGTCTACCAGGTTTTCTGTTTGTGTTCATTATGAAAAAAGAGTCATTTGGGCAGATCTGCTCTTAGTGATGGCTCAAGGCACCCTGTGTTATCTGTGTGCAAACAGCAAATGGAAGGTTGTCCTGACCCCATGGTGTCAGAGGAGAAATGGCCAAGATTTAGTAACAAGCTGGTGAAAAAAACTGAAAAGTGAGAGAAGTAAAAATCCAGCTTCCCGAGATCTAGTCATTTTGTCACACTGTTGTTCCCCATAAAGCGCCTGGCTTGAACCTTGGACTGGCTGGTGCTCGGAGAGAACAGGTGATTGAGCAGGTCATAGAGCTTGTGCACTTGCTCTGCGGGTTCTTGTGGTTTTCACTGGCTTGAGCAAAGCATGAGTGCGGGGCAGGACACTGCGAAGGGACAAAGCAAAATGCAGTGGCAGAGATGTGCTGGAGATAGCAGGGGTCCATCTAGGTACTACCGAACATGCCCTGTAATTTCCCTGGGGCTTAAGGTGTAGTTAGGGCAGCCCAAATGTATCAGAAGCTGACCTCTTCTGCCAAGTATCAGCCAGCTCAGCTACAGACTGCAGAGCTCTCTGTAATCCCCTTTTAAAGACATGGGGGGTGAATGTGAATACCTGACTGGTGTCTCAAGCTGAAAGCTGAGATTTTCTCCTTCTCTGCAGGATGTCTTGTGAAAACTTTCAGGAGCAGTTTTCCTGGTTGTATATATGTAACAGCACCCCAACGTTTCTTGACTTTGGAGATCAGCCCTGCACAACATGGTCCGTGGACAGACACATCAATCTGTGGAGTCCAGTCCTTGCCACAGGCAGGAACAATTATTCCTCAGGTAACGAACGCTCACTGCAATCAGCCAGTCCTCTCTTCCTCTCCACTGGTGCTTACAGTGAAACATTCACTTTGAGCACTGAATTGCAGAAATATTGATTGCCAGTGGTTAATGCCTGCCCTTTCCCATTACAGCTCCTATCAGCTAAAGAGGCAGAAACAAAGCAGCAGCACCGGCTGCTGAGTTAAAACAGGAGCCTTGTGATTTAGAAGCCCTAAACTCTTTAAATCAAAATGTGCTTGTCTTTCTTCTTTCAGCCAGTTGCAGTTAAGTGTTACTGGGGACCTCATCAGAAAGTCTGGTCTGGCAAATATGTAGCTGATCTTACAGAGCAAGAAATACTCTGAAATTAAATGAATTTGAAATGAAAGAATCATGCTATAAAGCTCTGTTTTTGAAGGTAGAAAGGCCTTTGAGCAGATAAGACCATTGGTTTTACTGTCTATGCAAGGACTCTCCTGGCATTGCAAGCCCTGATTATTATTAGTTTATTTGTTTGTTTGTTTGTTTTTAATTATCTTATCTTACTTTTTTACAGCTGCATCAGTATTTGGACTCTATGTTTTTAATCTAAGATGGTAGCATGTGGTCAATGAAGGAGCTTCTCTTTTCTGCAGCTCTGATCCCTGACTAAGCAGCAAACAGGTTCCAGCCTCCTCCTCATAACCTTGATCACCATATCTCAATGGGTGATAACAAAGCAATGCCTGTGCTCCTGCACGCTGCAGGCACTGGGACTGAGCAAGGAGGTGCAGGGACTGAAGAGAGAGCATGTGAGCAGAGCCATTTTCCTTGAGCTGTGTTTTCCACCAGCCCACTAGCAAAGTTCCTGTCCAAGTACAATCAGGCTAAACCACAGCTTTCAAGGCCACCCAACATAGCTACACGGCTTGAAGTCCAGACTGGTTTAAGCAGATGCTATCATCTCAGTCTTTTTTCCTCAGTTTGGGCATTTTACTGCTTTCTTATCAGGGATGTTTCCTGTGAACCAAAACCTTGGCCAAGAAGAAGCCTTTTCCCTCTGGTGCTCAACTGTCTGTCTTGCCCATCACAAGTCCATCACTTCCATTCACTGACAGGAAGGAAGGGGAGGATAGCTTTGCACCATTTTGTCTTTTCTTTTCACGTGTTTATGATCTCCAAGCCACAGTCCTTTTCAGCTCAGCCACTGGGTCAGTCAGCTGTTTGAGAATCGCTGCTTTTCTGCCTCAGGGAAAGTGTGCCATGTAGTTGAAGCAGAGGTAGGGGGATTGAGAAATATGCATGACTTTTATGACTTTGCCAGAGATTTCTAGAATGATTAATGGGCAATTAGTTCAACTCCAGATGCCTTAACTCTTACTGGTAAAGTAGAGACTACAGTGCTCTGTTGTATTGAAAGCATCTTGGAGCAGTAAATGCCTGTTCCTCTGGGTCTGTATGAGCAAGATCTTACACAATAGGCTACTACTGGGACATCTGTGTGACTACTATTGATCTATTAACACTTTCTCAGCAGGTGCAGTTTCAATGAACCCTCAGTATTTCTTCAAAGTGCCAGATTATGACCCGAAAACCTACAATGTAGTCATTTCACTCATGCAAAAACATGCTGAGGATATGCAGGATGCAAAGAACCTGAAGATTGGCTTTTTGATCACCACGGTAAGCACAATCAGGTATCATGCAGGCACTGTTGTTCTCTCTGTGACTTATTATAGCTGTACATGCAAATGAAAGACTGAATTGCCTTTTGGGCTGTAAAAGTAGAGCAGTCGGTATTTGGAGTGAACTTCTTGATGCCTTCTATCTTAGAACATCACAGGAAAAGTACAGTTAGGCAGGCTTAGCTTCCTTTATTCATATCTTAAGAGAGGAAAGGTTCAACTTTCAGTTCTGTGGCATCCCAAACCGTCTCTGGGAAACCCAAGGGATCCATAGGTTACAAGAGATGCCAGGGCAACATCATCCGTGCCCAGTGGTACTGGTGACATGCCTTGCCGGCCCAGCACACGGCATGACAGCCAGCATTAACCACAGCACTTAAGCAGTACTCCAGTTCTAGTAGGGAACAGAATGGCCTCTTGTTCCCCAAAATGGGGCCTGTCTTACTCATCTACCCCTTTCTATCACAAAAATGTCATGTAAAACCCTTTTGCAAAATACATGGAAGATTTTCCTCAAGACCAGTGCAGAGGTAATTCACTCAGTTATCTGAGACCTCCACCATGATTTTCCTGGTTTGGGTTTTTTTTTCTTGATGACTGTCCAGGGAGATGCCATTTCAAGGGCAGTTGTCAAAGCATTAGCAAGGTTACTGAAAGCGCAATTGCTAGTGCAGGTGGATGTTTGTCTTTTCCAAGTTGTTCTTTTTGTGGGCTGAGGGGAGGCAGGATGGGGTTGTTCTTAAACTGAAGAACAAAAGGAAGCAGAGATTGGTATGACCCTAGCTTCACATTTTCCTGAGCACTGGAGAGGTTTGCTCTAGCCCCAGACTTTGAATAACTGATGCCACAAGTCTAACAGCTCCTCATAAAGGGAGAGCATGGCTTTGTAGCTCATAAAAACCAGTGTCTGAGAAATAAAAGACATAATAAAAAGAGCATCACTCCAGCGAGTGGAACTCACTATCTCTACACAAGGAGATCCTCTACCTGGTGCAGATATCATGGGGCAAGCTGTGCCACTCAGAAGGAGCTGCTACTCCTGATAAATGGGGAATTCGCTGCTTCCAGCATCCTCATCAGCTGTCCTGCAACAGTCACCAGACATGGAGGTCTCTGCATGCTCTTGCATGATGCATGCCCACCTTGATTAGTTATCCATTTTGACAGAAAGGACCCTTACTGGGAGGTGATGACAAAGGTCTTGAGTCCCTTGAAAAGAGATTGTTTAATCAGGAAATACACTAGAGGACAGATTTGCTCTAATTCTTGCTTTATATTTAAAATGTCTTTCTTCCCCTTCAGTTGATGCTCAGGTGTCTTCATTTAGTTTTTCTCTCTCTTGGTATATTCCCAAGGATGGATGAAATCCAGTGAGACATGTCCCTATGGGCTGCCAATCCATGGGTCACCTCAGGGTCAGTTTGGGCTTCTGATCCCAGATCATCTGCTATGTAGCAGCTGAAGGGCAAGGCCAGAACAGGCTGTTACTAGGGGCACCAGAGTACTGTGGAGCATGAAAGAGGAGTGTCGTGCTACTCTGTCACGTCACAGCTTTTAATAAGGTAATGTTATTGGTACAAATCCACACAGCAGATTATAGAGAAAATATCCCCCCATGGACACAGCCTGAGTATTTTAACATGAGAGCTGGTCTACCAGCCGCTCACAGCCAGGCGAGCATTCTGCCCTGGTAGCAGCAAAAGCCAGATCCAGGAGCTAAAACCAGGGTAGGTGTGCAGCACTGTTCCCTCAGTTCATTTCCTGGCATCTAGCCTCAGTGCCTGACAGCAGTCAGAGGTGACATCTTTACGTAAAAGTTTACAAGGGGTTTTCTTTGCACCAGGAAAGTGTAATTGCTAAGATTCATGGGGCTTCACTCTTCCTCCCTCAACTGCTTTCACTGCCAGTACTCATTAGCAGTATCATTCATTGCTCAGTACCTTTTGAGGTGCATTAAATTGTTGCTGTGAAGTAAAAAGGGTATTATCCCTTGGTAGGATGAGAGGGAAATGCAGTGCAGGCAAGGATGCAAACCAGAATGGACATATCTGATAGCTCTAGGAAGCCTTTGATTAAATATAGACGTGGAACACTAATACATGGCTGTGAGGGAAGTTTAATGTTGTGTGATAGAGCTGAGCAATGCATAGAGGCTGATTCTTATCTCACACTGGTTTTGACTCCATTGAGATATTAATCTGCTTCTGCTTTTTACCAGAAGGAATGTGGAATGAGACTCAAAAGTGAAAAAAGTATTACACCATTTATTTCTTTGCAGCACTGCCCACTTCTATCTGCTCAAGATCCGACCCATAATACTTGGCAGTCTACATACCTCCCAGCCTTCTGTAACAGTAGTGATCTTTTTTTTTTTTTCTCCCAAAATAGCAGTTTTATGTTATTTTCTCCCGAAGGCATGGCTCATAAATAACTCTGCCATGCTGTATAACCATTCTAAATGGAATTTATACATGCTGATGTATTTTGGGGAATATGTTTAGTAAGGGATTTTTATTATGCTATCTTTACATGTCATCATAGTAATAGCTGTTGCATTATATTTGTTTCATCTCAGCAAAAATACTGGAATAACAGAAGAAAGATCAGAATATTCTATTTTCTTGTGACACTCGCTGGAAGGTTTGGGTTATGATTTTTGAAGCATTGTCAACTGGGTGAGACGCTTAGTGAGCTCTCTGATCACTCTGAGTCACGCTAGATCTCAAGGAAGTTTTAGTAGAGAGTATTCATCCTTGATTCCTTCATGAACTCCAGTCTGCTTAACGTTAATTGAAGTTCTCTTCAAATCCACTTACATACACTTTGCCTTTTGTTTCTTTCAGTTCTTCAACCCTTGTGCATCTTTGATGTGTCCTTGAACAAAGTCTGTCACCTGGGTGGGCTTTTCGTTCCACTGAAGAGGTTAAGGCGTGTTAGATGCAGTGTATATTTAGAGAGCTGAAGGGATGCAAGGCTGCTGTGGGTGCACTTTCTGATTTGCTTTGGTTCTTGATGTGGAGGGGAGATAGCCAGCTATATTTTTCTTTCAGGAGAACTCCGAAGTTCTGAAACAAAGTTTTTCTCTGACTCGAGACGTTACCAACTACTTTATCTTGAGCGCAGGAACTTACGCTGTCATTCCTTCTACAACAGAGAAACAAGAATTTGAATTTCTCTTACGAATTTTTGTGAAGAATCAAGACTACAATGAGTAAGATGATAAGTATTCCTTATAGGCCCCAGACTTACAGTGTGCTAGGATTTAACAATTTAATGTCAAGATAACTAATGTGGCAATTTGATTTTAATGGACTCTAGAAGCGTGTTGGGAAGACACAGCTGAGTGTTAAGCACCATGTTGAGGGGGATCAGACATATAGTCAGATACACAGGGGTGACCACAGCAGAACAGGGCAATAGCTCATCTGCAGCCACCAAGGGTCTCAGCTTTGGTACAGAGCCACACAAGCAGGCAATAACTGTGAGATATATCGTGTGTCCCCCTCTGAGGAGATCTCCCTTTAGTGAAAGGAGGGCTGAGAGATTGTTTTTCTTAACAGCTGTTGTGTAGTGTCTTGTGTTGTGTCGGCAGGAGACCAGATGGATCAGGTCCCATTCTACTCTACAGAAGCAAAGACCAGTGAAAGGCCTTGATCCTTTCACCCAGCCATCTCATAGACAGGCTGGCAGGGCTCCCTGTGGGTGTAAGAGGGGCCTTGAAGATAAGTTTGGTGGAAAAATGATATCTTAGTTCATTCAAAGGCAGCTGTTATCACATTTTCATATAAATATCTGGGTGTGTTTTACGTAAAGAACAAGCCCCAAGATTCAGTCTTACCAAATGACCTTCTAGCATCAGATTTGCATTGTCTTTCCTTTAGTAAGCTTTACAGTGGAGGTGGTTGCAGGTCTTACCTCATAGACCCATATCTTAATAATGAGATTGCTTTCTAGGCTTTGGCTCCTGGCAAAAATACCTTGAACTGACTAAGGCAACTCCTTAGTTATGGAAAACAAATATGAGAAGTCTGTGCTCTGGGCTGGACTGCCTTCAGCATGACGAGTCATGCGCAAGACAGCTCAGCCTTGGGAGGCAGGTCTTTCCAGGAGAGCCTGTGACCCTCACACACCTTCTTGAGCTAGGCCAAGCATGAGGATCCCCTTCCTGTGGGTCTCTGAAATGCTCACCTATATAGTAGCCCAGATGCTAAAAAAATAGGATCTGGCTTGCCTAATTTCTTTACCAAAAGCAAAACTCAAGTATCGTGTGTCGCTACTAAGTGAGTCTCAGAAGGAATGGTGACCTCAGCTCCATTTCAGGCAGTCTGCAGACATTTAAAACATGTGGCCTTTTAGTAGCCCGGATGATATTTTTATATCTGACTATTAAACTAGGCAAAGAGAAACCAGGTGAAAATTTTATGTGGCTCAAGGCAGGGCAGCCCTGTCTTCTGTGTGGTGAGGTTAGTCCTGGCATGATCAGAATAAGACAAGTTACCTTTTCTCTGCTGCTAGTGCCAGCAGGGCTGGCTCAGGGAAGGCAGTCACTCCAGAGCAGCCAGAAACTCAGACCTGCCCATGTCTGGTTGTGCAGAGAGACCCAGGACTGGTACAACAGGCTTGAGTGAACGGGGACTGGCTGGGAGGTGTGAGCACTGAGCATCTTGTGGGGCCACAGGGTGGGTGGGTGCTCCGGTTGGTGCTTGTCTTCTGCCACATCTGCAAATTAATACCCGAAAAGGCCTGTTCTCTCCCAATTTGACTCTTGTAACTCTTTTGTAGGAACTCAAACTCCCTGTCCAGCCCAGTGCTGCCAATGGTAAGAGTCTGTGAAAACTGATGTGGATACTGGTGAGGGTGAATAGTTCCCAGAGAGCTGACCATTTGGTAACCTCTACTGACTCCTCTTCTTCCTTCCCTGCATACCAGACACCACTCTGCTCTTCTCTCCTTTCACCACTTACTACTTGTCCCAGAGTTTGACTCTGGCACCCTGCAACCTTGCTGGGAGAGCAGATGACCAGCCTGAGGTACCTTTCTGGAGAGAGAGGAGTGACAACAAAGCCCTTCTTCTTCATATATGTCTTTTTCAGAGCCTGATTCTTGGAGAAAACAAATCTTAGACAATCCCTCTGTCAGCCTGTCCATCTGTCCTTTCCACCTCTCTACCTTTGACATTTTGATCAACCAAATATAACAGGAGGGAGAGCATTTCAAAACTATTAAATTCTTGCAATGTCTGTAAAATGGGGATGTATCTAAGGAGGAGAGAGGGGGAAACTTTGATGAAAAAGTCACAGTTTGAGTTTGCCCTCTCTTAAAAAGACCTTACACCTGAGAGCAGGTTCATATATGTCTTCACTATGGGAATGGCTTCATTTAAGTTCTTGCGCCATATGAAGCACAGGAGTCCATAGAAGTGAGGCTCAAAGCAAATTTATTCTGATTTTCATCAGGATATCTTCACAGATGTAAGGGAAATTGCACTTCAAAGCTGATTGTGCCTCTAGTTCAACCCACATTTCAGCTTGTCTAGCCCAGTTACCATCTGTTATTTGACTTCCTCGCCCTGAACTGTGGAAACTACCAGAGCGGGTCCAGTCCATGCTGCTGTCTCGCTGGTTGCTTGCAAAATCCTGCTGCTGAGAGGCTGTTATTTATAGCAGTGCAAACTCAGTGCAGATCTTTGAAGCCAAAGGTGTAAAGCTGCTTCAGGAGAATAGAAAGTTCCTTCAGGAGTCCTTTCCTTGTGATTCATTTTCCAGCCTGCAATTAGGTCCCATTAGAGGGGTAGTGTAAATGGTAGCTTATTATCTCTTTCCACTGACAAGCTGTCAGTTTACTTGACTGTTGTCGCCAATGTTTTGACTTTGAAAGATTACGGTACCCACACCTTCTGCCCTTGTTCAGGTATTTGGGCTTCACTGGTGTGAATTATCTTGCACAAAGCTGAAGGCATTGGGGCTCAGGCTTAGATTTTTTGGAGAAACTTTATAATGTTAAGGATAGTTCCTCTTAGTGCCTGGTGGATCTCCTCACCAGAGGGTTGAAAAAAATCACTTAACCATTAAATTGGAACTGCTCAGGTACAGTCAAGCCTGCCTTAGGGGTTGAAAAGGTAAAAGAGAAATGAAAAGTCAACTCCTGCTCTGTTTTCTTGGTTCACATCAATCTTCACATGCCCTAAGCCAGTGATTTCAAACAAGGGCCATCAGTAAGGATCAGGCTTTGTATCACTATACTCATGTATTAACTTGCTGAACTCCACCATGGATGTGTTCTATTGTCTTCCTCAGACCCTGAGCTGCTCCTTCCTGGTTGTACTAAGTAATGTCATCCAAACTATGCTTCTTCCTTCATTTCAGCAGCTGTTCCTTGCTCCCAGTCCCCTTTACTTCTGGAGTTTTAAAACCGCAGCCTGTACTGTATATTCCCTGTCCTTTCTAAAGTGCTGTTTGGATCTGCAGGCTTCTGCCTGCAGTTGTTTTGTAACTGAATTATTTATGTGTGTACTTTGTCTTTGATCCAGGATGTACCAAGACAGAACCAGGACAGCTCCTACAAGGCTGTCTTCCTAAGATATGCTAAGCAGGTATCCTATCTAAAACATCTTGCTCAAAAATAAAAAAGGCATGTGGACTTGCAAAAAGAAAAACTGATTAACAATGTTGATACAAATCCATTTAGAAAAATGTTTTTTTGAAATGTAGCTCCATCCTCAAGTGCATACCCTGAAAACAGTATTGATTGACCTGCCAAAACCCTCTGAAAAATGGGACATTCATCTGGGATAGATTGGCTAGCCTCATGTATCAGAGGAGGATTGGAGATTTGTGGTTGTGCTGGTGATGGGCTTGCATGTGTACTTTTTTTTTTTTTGGCTTCGGTTTGTTTATTTACTGAAAGCAATTAGAAAGCCTTGGGTATTCCCCCCTCTCATCAGCATCATTTTCCATTTGCCTTCGAGGCATTTGGAAACCAGACATCAGTCAGCGTTTGAGTAATTGATTCCTGCTCTTCCTGAGCCAAACTCTTGTGTGTTCACACGAGATGCTTTTAATGGTTTAATAAACTGTTACAAAGAACTCTTCAACTTAGTCAAGAGCAAAAAAAAAAAAAAATTGCTGCCAAAAAGTCTTTGCACAATGGACCTCTTGCAGTTAACAATTATATCAATGCATGAAGGTGAAAATGAACATGGGTTGCCAGGCTGAATGCCCTGGGGGTGTCTCTGGAGGGAGGCAGTCAGGTTCACTGGTGGGTTGGGTGGATCAGGGGGAAGCAGGCAGCAAGGCCTGTGCACCCAGCCCGCTCACCCAGCTGTCTGCTGTGCCTGCCCATGGGCAACTCCCCAGCTAGGGGCTGGTGAAGTCAGCGAGTGTTCCCATCACTGCTGCAAATCCCCCACAGAGACAGGGAGCATCTGTAACTCCCCTGTAGACTCTTGTAGGGAGGGACTAAGAGTGGCTCAGCAGCATGGAGGGTTTTGTTAGGCTCCTATGGGGGTGCTGCTGCTCCTCTGATATAAGCAGAGGTCCTTCTCGGTTGCCACTGTTTGTGAATAAAGAAGCCTGGGGTGCAAAAGTGACACAGGAGAAAACCTTATGCTTACAGACCTTTCTTTGCATGTTATTCTGCGTTAGGGCTCAGCTATTGATGCCTCGCAGCTGCAACAACTCCTTAATGAAGTGATCCTGCAAGGTAAAGCTTTTACAACCCAGCTAATGTCTTTGGTGCTTCCCTATCCTTAGTGGGGTGTAAATTAGACAAAGGATTTAGTGCTGTCCCGATGATCCTCAAAAAATCCTCAGAGTGGCTTACCGCACTGTTGGATCTTGAAGAATGAGCAGTGCCTCCACCAGGGTTCCTTTGGAAGAGTTTGGTTTGATTTTTTTTTTTTTTTTAAATCAAAGTGATGTTCACATGAAGAAGATGATACAACCCAGACCAGCTGCTAACAGACTCTTTAATGCATGGTCATCAGCAAAGCTGTGCCTTGATTTGACAACTAAATTTCACCTTCCCCCTTCCCCCCGCCAGTTCTGCTGTGGAATAGCCTCTGCTCTTCAGCCCTACCCTGCCCCATGCTGCCCTTCTCCTGGATGTCCCTGCAGCCCACATGAACACCTCTTCCTGCTCTATACTCTACCAATTGCAGCAGGAACACAGTCCCTGGCTGGGTTGCACCAGTGAGTGCCCTAGGGAGCTGTGCCTCCCACTGTCCTCACTGTCACCCAATTTCTCTCAATTCAGCCCTGGCCTCCATCACACCTCTGCAGAGGCCTCAAGCTGGCTTTCAGCATTTCCCAGCCTTCTTAACCTGCCCACCTTGAAAATGGCATGAGACAGGGGCACAGCTGGAAGGCTCGAACCAACTCAGTCATGCACAAGGCTCAAAGTGCTCCTAGAACTTGCTAATTCAGCATAAATGGCCTTTCTTGTCACTGTCATTTCCCATATCCTTATTTCAAGAGGGAAGAGTTTCCATCAGGACAGGTTAGGTGGGCAGAGACTGTGCAGAGTAGTTAGTTACCTGTGAGCCCAAACAGGGCTCCCCTGTCCTTGGGGAAGGGAGCAGTAGAGTTGTCTGAGACACATTAGACTCCCTCAGTGGACCTCAGCCTGGCATGTAGCCCTTGCTGCTGCTTGAGACCCTGAGCCAGATCTGGGGCTTTTTAGCTACATGAGCCTTCAGACTGGTGTCCTCCTTCCCTCCGAATAGTGACCTGGTGCCTCTGTAACCTGTCTCACTCTCACCAATTCCTTCTGTTTTGCCAATCCTTGCAGATGAAATGACCAGCCTGGGAGGAACATTCAGCTTTGATTCATGCAGAGGCATTTTAGCTCTGATGGATGTATCCTTTCAGCAGAAGCAATAAACTTCCCTGGTGCTGCCCATCCTTGCCTTGAGTTATGCCTGAGCTGAGCGTCCCAGTGTGAGAACCTGCAAGTAAATATTAGCCACAGTCCTAATAAATAACTGTCCCGGCATCTATGCAGGACTTTGCCATGCATGCCCTGGCTCTGGTGTCTGTGCTGACAGGTGAGGGTCAACTTTTTGCTACCAGCTAACTCTTTGCTCTCATTTTCCCCTCTGCAGGGCCTAGGGCTTGGCTAGGCTACACCCTTGAGCGCAGGGTCCCAGGCAGAGCCCGAGGTAAGGAGGCAGCACAGAGCTCAGGCCCAGCTCAGCTCTTCCATCACGGCTGCAACCACGCTGGCCTGTGATGGCAGCTTAAGCAGGTTGCTAGCACTGCCAGCAAAGCTGGTGTTGGGGCAGAAGCACTGTCACTGTTGAATCACAGGCACTTCCCTGGCAGGCCATTCATCCTTCCTAGTGAACCATCCCTATTTAGATGGATCATGTAGTCTTTTTGCTGTTAACAACACTGGAAATACATTGCTGGCTGATGTAGAATAAGAAGGCTCCTTGATGAAAACGTAAATTCTCCCCTATGTGTTTTCTCCCCATTGCTTGCTCACTGTCTCTTTTCTTCCATGCCTTGAAATAACTTTGAGACATTTTCAGACCTTTATAGACTGCCAGGGAATGAATAAAAATGATCAGAAGTCCCTCTCTCTTTCCAGCTTTCTGCATCTAGCTAGTGAAAGAGACTTTTCCGTCTTTCCAAAGCCCCTCCTGGGCTAAGGGGGCACTGTGAATGCATGGCACGTGCAAAGAACTGACAAAGCTACTGCTCTGCTTTAATTCAAAATGGATTTTTCATCCTCTGGGCTGCATACAACCCATGTACGGTGTGACCTATCTTGGCCTGCAAAGACAGGATCAGGTTTTTTTACTCAGGTTTCATGGCAGTAGCACTTTTCTGCTTATATTTCACTGGTGATGAGTTTTGCTTTCGGGGAGTTTTTGCCATCTCAGCTGCATCAGGTGAGGTGCTGCATGCCTGCCCAGAACTCCTACCTAGATGGTGTATGGAGGGGAGCAGGTCCACTGACATGGGTCTTCGAGCATCACCATGTCTGCTGACACCTCTGGGCTCCTGCAGCTCATGGTGGGAAAGTGTTTTCTTGCCTGTGGCATATGCATGGCTCAAAGGCTGCTGCTGCCTTCTGACGGCAGGCATCAGGATCGGCTCGTCCTGCTTTTGGCTCCTTCAGTGCCAGTTCCTCCAGGAGGATCCAGGCAGAGCTAATGCTGTGCTGCCTCATGCACAGAGGGAAGTCAATGTGCACATGTGGCCTGGAGTATGGGATCACGTTCATCCACAGGGGCCTCTGTGCTCGGTGGCTATATGTCAATTGAAGCTATCACTGCAGGTTCCCTTGTGGTTAAAGGCACCATATAAATAGAAACCTTTTGTTTGCGAGCACAGGTATGAGCAGCTATACAATGTGCCAAAGAAGGTGAATTTAACCCTAAGGATAATTGAAGGCAGAAAAGCTCTTGGCTTTCTCAACACAAAGGAACAAACAGAAGAGACTGCATCTTATGTCTGCCTTTATGTGACGGCAGCATCCTCAGGAAAGAAGACAGTCAGGTTTAGCTCTCATTAGCTGCTCAATTCTTAACTAAATGCACAGCTCAACTCGAACGGACAACTGACACTCCAGGAGTTCGGGAGCCTCTGGCGAAGTCTCACTAAGTACATGGTACGTGGGGGCTGCTCTCTCTTCTCTGCTGATACTGTACTCTTGGGCTTTTCATCAGCAGGGAGCAGATGCTCTGTGATATCAAAGCACTGGGGGGAAAAATGTGGCAAAGGTTGCTTGCTTAGTGGGTCAGATTTCTATTCTCTCACACAAAGGCTGGGAGCTCAGGAAGCAGTGGTGTGTGTAAAGTGCTCCAAACAAGCAGCCGAGGCTTTTCTAGCCCAGCGAATATTGAGGTGAAAGTGGGAAAAGGTAGAAAGGCCAATTAGGCTCAGAATCTGATGGAAATCTCTGTTTGTGTGCTACCACTGGCAATTTAAAAAAAAATCTTTCTAAGCTGAAATGAGTTCTGGAACAGAGTCATCTGAAAAATGTCACTTCCTCGTTGCTGCAGTTTGTAGTGGAAATGCGTAGGATCTGATGAAAGTTTATCTGGGAGAAATGTCTCTGCTCCAAGGTAAGCTTCAGTTCTGGAAGCAGTGAGGACAGTAGCTTGGTATTTATGGCCTCACCTAAATTCAGGCAGCTTCTCTGTGTCAAGTCCTTCTCCCTTCAGTCTTGCTGGAGGACAGGAAGATTTCCTGAAGCCTCAGAGTTGTATGGGCTCTACTTTGTCTCATCCATCTTGAGATGGTCCGAGGCCACCTAGGACATGGACCT